TTTTTTTTTTTTTTTTTTTTTTTTTTTAATTTTTTTTTTCAACATTTATTTATTTTTGGGACAGAGAGAGACAGAGCATGAACGGGCGAGGGGCAGAGAGAGAGGGAGACACAGAATCGGAAACAGGCTCCAGGCTCTGAGCCATCAGCCCAGAGCCCGACACGGGGCTCGAACTCACAGACCGCGAGATCGTGACCTGGCTGAAGTCGGACGCTTAACCGACTGCGCCACCCAGGCGCCCCTGGAGATCTGTTTCTTAAACATACTCTCAACTTCTGATTTCAGCTTGACCTTGCCCCCCACTGGAGGCAGCACCTTGTGCTAAACCTTTTGGAGGTTCTGCGGTGTAAACTGAGACACAATGAGGTTATCCATCTGCCTCCCAGCTCAGAATTCTGCCTTCCCATATCTACTTAATTAGCTCTCATCCACTGGATTTTCAGCTTCAAATGTTTTGTTGTAGCTTTATCCTTTCCTATTCTATTTGTCCTTGACTGTGTGTGTGTGTGTGTGTGTGTGTGTGTGTGTGTAAGATCAACTTACTGCTGTTTTAGAGTGGCTTCAGAAGGAAGGAAAAGTAAATATAGGTGCTCAATCTATCATTTTCCAGATCCCTTAAAACTTTACAAGTCTATTTTTTATTTTATTTTTTAACGTTTATTTATTTTTGAGAGAGAGAGAGACAGAGCACACGTGGGGTTGGGGTTAGGGGTGAGGGTGGGGGTGGCGCAAGGAGACAGAATCTGAAGCAGGCATCAGGCTCTGAGCTGTCAGCACAGAGCCTGATGTGAAGTTTGAACTCATGAGCCGTGAGATCATGACCTGAGCTGAAGTTGGGCACTTAACCAACTGAGCCACCCAGGTGCCCCATTAAGTCTATTTTTGAAACTTAACAAAGCATCACATTGGTATCTTAATTTAATGAGCAAAATCACTTTCAAAGAGCAGTGGTATTCTACACTTGTGCTTAGATTAGAGCAGCCCAAGTGACATGCATATTGATTGAGGGGAAAGTCTAAAGAGAAGAGCATCTTGAATTCAGACAAGGATGCAATGTAAACCACCCATGTGGGCAAACCTAACTTAGCCTGTGTATTTTTCAAACAACACTGAAGACCTTGAACTTGATATTGGACAAGATGAAAAGGTTGACTGACAATCATAAATTGCCTATTTCTCCAACATAATTATGAAAATGTGTCAGAGCATACTTAGAATGAATTTTCTATCATGGCATAATTAGCTGCCAGCTAAGACATATAAATTTCAGGTCATTTTCCTCATTCATACAATTCAGCTTTACCTAATAGCAGTTTCTTTATTAAAACATACTTAAGAAGAAAGCACATCACTCAGCTAGTACACATCCAAGTGAATCACCTTATTATTACTGTTATTATTATTTTTGTTCTAGAGCATTGAGTAATATAATCAAAGGTACTACTAAAAACATAACTTTTTCTTTTAAAAACTTTTATTAAGTTGCAGAATATAATCTCAACAGCGTGTGTATGTGTGCGTGCGTGTGTGTGTGTGCATGTGTAAGTCCAGGGATATGGATTATGCATGCACCAAAAAAATGTCTAAAAGGACTGCCACTACCACCTTGAGAACAGCTAACTCAGATTGGGTTGGACAACCAATGCTTTCTATACTATGAAATGTTTACATTTCTCATTTACTATTTTTTTCAATTAAAAAAAAAGAAAAACTCTTGCTTATAAAGCTGACCATATATACAGCAAGGATTCTTAAAAATTACCATAAACCAATATCTGCCCCTTCCCTTGCACTACCTGCCCAACATCTATCCAGCTGAATCCCACATGACTCATGACAGGAAGAGTCACATCTGACATCATCAGATTCAAACACCAACAGGGCTATTTTTCATTCATGGTGGGGATATGAAAATGAGTTTGATAAAGTATTTGTTTTGAACTTTTTGGCCTTCAAGCTTCCACCAATCTATTTGTTCAAGCTTAATTTCATTTTAGGAAAGAAAATGTATTGATCTGCCCCAGACATCCCATCAGCTCTTCCAAATCATCAGATGAAACAAAGTGTTATTTGCCAACAGTTGGAATTACAGTATCCCTGCTATGCCAGTCTGCTGGATAGACTAGAGGTTTTTTCCTACTCTTCCTTAACATCTCACAATAACTATTTCTACAAGCATTAGAAGTATGCAATATGTGTGTTATTTTAAAATCTTGCCTTTCAAAAAAGATTAGCATTCAAGAGACACTTATTTGTCTTTCAGCTTTCTCCCAGGATTTCTAAAATGCTTGACAATTACAGAATATAAAATTTAGAAGTCCAATGACTCATTAGAAGGAAGGGAAAGAGAGGTGCCTAGGTAGCTCAGTTGGTTGAGCATCTGACTCTTGATTTCAGCTCAGGTCATAATTCCAGGGTCGTGGGATTGAGCCCCGCATCGGGCTCCGTGCTGGGCATAGAGCCTCCTTAGGATTCTCCCTCTTTCCACCACTCCCCCAGCCCCTCTGCTTGCATATGCTCTCTCTCTCTAAAATATAAAAATTAAAAAGGGAGGGAAAGAGAGTACTAGCACAGAGAGCAACTGAGTCACTAATCTAGTGATTTCCTACACGCCTCCAACATTGATAGCTTCAAGCCATGACACTTCACCATCCCATTTTCGATAGCTTTCCTCTTTAACGTGCCCTATGCATTTAATTCTTGAGTTTCTTGTATATGGGGAAGAGAACAAGAAAGCCAGTAGAGGGGCGCCTGGGTGGCTCAGTCAGTTGAGCATCCAACTCTTGATTTCGGCTCAGGTCATGATCCCATAGTTTGTGGGTTCGGGCCCTCTGTTGGGCTCTGTGCTAGCAGCACGGAGTCTGCTTGGGATCCTCTCTCTGTGTCCCTCCCCTGCTTGTGCTCTCTTTCAAAATAAATAAATAAATTTAGAATAAAAAAAAAGAAAGAAAGCCAGTGGAGAAGTCCCCAAAGTTCCATCCATAACACCTGCAGAGTGACAAGGCCAAGGGGGAATGATCACCAAAGGGAAGTCTAGAGCCCATAATCTGGCCCATAAGTAGAAGTCTCCAAATTATATGACAAACTATGTGGCAATTTTAACAAAACTAGCTTTTGTCTGGAGGAGTGACCTTCAAACTTTGAATCTGTCAATTTCTCACTTTCAATATCAGATCTCAGTGGTCTGCAAATTGCCTTCAATCATATTCCAGTGAGTGTTCTAGGGAGTTCTGAGCTCTCAACAGACTCTTAACTTGTCCCAACACTCCCCCCAACCCCCTCCACCAGGGAACACAGTAGAGTCTCTCTCTCTCCTATGTCAACAGTGGGAAGTAAAATTCAAATCACAAAACATTTATGCTACCACAGACCTGAGAAGTCATCTGGTTCAACCCCTTGTTTCAGATGGGGACAGTGAGGATGGAGAGGGGAAATAACTGACCCAAGGTCTCCCTGCCATAAGGAGCAGAGTCTGGACTCCTTCCCAATCTGGGTTCAGTTCCCATCATTTCAATTCCTGCTCCTTTCCTTTATGTTGTTGTGTGTGGTTTCCCTAGATGGTTACTAATTTGATGTTGCCTTTAAAAGAAGCTAGTGAGGGGCACCTGAGTAGCTCAGTCAGTTAAGCGTCCAGCTCTTGATTTCGACTCAGGTCATGATCTCACAGTTCATGAGTTGTGGCCCCGTGTTGGACTCTGTGCTGACAGTGCAGAGCCTGCCTGGGATTCTCTCTCTCCCTCTCTATCTCTGCCCCTCCCCTGTGCACTTGTGTGCTCTTTTTTTAAAAAAAAATTTTAATGTTTATTTATTTTTGAGACACAGACAGAGCACAAGTGGAGGAGGGGCAAAGAGAGAGGGAGACACAGAATCTGAAACAGGCTTCAGGCTCAGAGCTGTCAGCACAGAACCTGACGTGGGGCTTGAACCCACCAACTGTGAGATCATGACCTGAGCCGAAGTTAGATGTTTAACCGACTGAGCCACCCAGGCACCTCCCTCTCTCTCTCTTTCAAAAATAAATAAACATTAAAAAAAAAATAAGGTAGTGATTCTTCTTCACTATTACCACAAAATATGCTCACTATAAAAAGTTGGGGAAATGAAGCTTTTTAAAAATGTTTTGCTTATATAGCTTATATGAGCTTGTTTATAAAGAACTTGGAAAGTCAAAACAATATAAAGAGCCAGAAAAAAAACATAAGCCATAATCCTGCCACCTGGGGATCACCATTGTTAATAGTTTGGCATATTTCCCTCCAATCGTTTTTTCTAAACATTTCATGTAATTATATTATATTGCATGTATAATTTTACATCCTGTTTTTTTTTTTCATTTTGGCATTTTTCCTATTGGAGTCAGACAACTCCACATATGTGTATTATATTTCTCTTTCTTCAGCAGGAACTCATTTATCCGTCAGAAGGGTAATCAGACACTAAAAATCACAGTCACAGTTTTATTCTGTGGTTTTGAGAGTCTTTTTGGTCTGTTTTATGAAGGTTGTTTTGAAATTATTTTCTTGCCAAAAAGCTGTGTGTACTTTCTTCTGTTTGTTTACTTGGATCTAGAAAAACCTCCCACTGAAATGATGTCTGGCCATATCCTGCCCAGCATAAGCCAACATCAATACATGTGGATATTTGCATTTGAAATAAAATGCACACTGAAAGTGCCTATTTTAAAAGGGAAAATTACACTGAAGCAAAAATAAAATTCTATTATATTAAAAAGGCCATCATTGAATAGTCATAGAGATTCAACCTTACATCCCCTAAGCAAGAACAAATATGAGATAAAACCCTTTCCTCCCATCCCCATTTTTGGGGGCTGGGCCTAGGCAATTTCAAGTTCAGAAACCTTCCTCCCATAAGACTTACTCCTGGCTGAATGACACTGTACGAAAATCACTGGGCAAAGGTTCACTTGTGCATTGTGGTGAAAACACACAGTAGGCCCAAAGTTGGCTCCCAGAAGCTCATGCCAGGGTGGAAATGTTGCATGGAAATGTCTAGAGAGACTTGTGGAGAAAATCCACTGTTGGAATACACTGCATTTCGGTGCCTCATCTACAGTGCCACCACAGACCCAGCTTTTGTCTAAGTGGAAAGGCTATGCTATAAAAATCCATAAACCAATTAAACCCATCAATGAGTAGAATCTGATCTCTTCCAATATTTTATCTGGAGATTTAAATTGGTCATACTATAATTAAAATTTAAAAAGACAGCATTTGGCAAATGCATAACCATCTGCCAATTACATAAAGGTCTGTAGACAACTCTGGCCAATTCTACCAGAGAGAAAGTTAAGCATTCATGTTTTCAGCAGGGCTGTAAATAATGGTAAAGTTTGGATACTACATTTGCTACTTTCGAGAGTCTTATCAATGACCACAGCCTTTTGAAGGAAAGGAAGCATTTTGCTCCCTGCCAGCCTGCAGTGTGACTGACTTTTGTGGGCAGGATCAGAGGTCACTCAGAATAATATGTGATGGCTCGTTCACCGATGAAGGGAGCAGTGCTTCACCTCCCAGCTGAGCTGGTCACAAGCCACGTGCTCTGGCTCAGATTTATATTACCAATCAAATCTGAGATATGACACAAGCCCAATGGTCTGCAGTAACCCACGGCACTTGAAGACCAATCTGCTGAATGGAGACACGAGTGCTATTGCCACTACTCACTACGGTGCTTAAGCCCCTCTAGGACCCTTCAAGCACATCTGTTTCCAGAAGAAGGCTCTGCAGCTCATTTCTCTGTCCATTATGGCCACCAAAGTGGGAATATTTAAACCAGAGGGATTTAGAAACATGTATTTAAGAGAAAAAAGTTACGGGGAACCTGGGTGGCTCAGTCAGTTGGTTAAGCATGTGACTCTTGGTTTCAGCTCAGGTCATATCTCGTAGTTCATGGGATGGGGTCCCAAGTTCAGCTCTGCTCTGACAGCACAGAGCCTGCTTGGGATTCTCTCTCTCTCTCTCTCTCTCTCTCTCTGCACCTACCCTGCTCATGCTCTTTACCTCTCAAAATAAACATTAAAAAAAAAGAGAGAAAAAATTACATTGAAAAAGACTGAGTCTCTATTTACTGCTGAGTATTGATCTGCAACTGACTATGCAGCCTAGTTCAGTGGAGAGAGTCTGAGACAGTCCCAGCTCTAAGTGAACAAGTCCAGCAATTTAGTTAGTCATTCCCAATCTGTGCAAAGGAGATGATACACAGCATCCATGGCTGTGGTAAGGATGCAGTCTTGCATAAAGGTACTCACTTGCAAGGGGACTATCATAAATCACATGTTACCAAAAGTTTATTTTTAGAGCCACACATCATCTGTTTAAAGTATAAGTCTATCTCCTCTGCCAGGGAAATTTGCTGATTTCTTGTTCCTGATATTGTCATTTCCAACTAATTTCTAAGACAGCCCAAGCAATGAACGTGTGTCATTAGTGTTTTCAAATATTTACCTGCAAGCTGTTGTTCAGCAAATCAAAGTCACTGTATCTCCTCACAATCTGTAAGACAAGACAGTGGTGTTTTCATTTGGCAAAGACCATCTCTTTTCATTTCCTTATTTAATATTTATTGACATTCTAGAGCTCAGGCATTTGCACTAAGCGTAGGAGGGCTCATACCTGGTGCTTAACTTGCTTAACTAGACAGACCCAGAAAACAGACCCAGAGTTGGCCGGGTCATACAAAACTGGTTAATGCCAGCCAAACACACAAGATGCCAACAGGTAAGAGAGAATGATTTTGTTTTCAGAGTGAATAGTCCTTTCAATATCCTTCTCATTAACCAGGCATCTGGAAAGATGAATTAATGATTTACCCAAAAAAGTTTTACTGAACATGAAATCAAAGTAAAAGGAAATGGATAGCTTTGAGGCCATTTCATCCTTGCCCTGGATAAAACTTCCCCCAGTTAAGATCCCACCATTCTAGAGACAGGACTGCATCTGCAGGCAGAGAGGCCATACCTCTCCCAGATTCTCTGCATTTCCCTCCCAGCAGACGTCCACCTTCCATTGTCTATACATTCTTTCTTAGTTCTGCTTGATGCCATTGCTTGGGCCAGAATCAAATTCCACTAGTTCTTCAGGCTCTGGGCAAGGAAATTATTTTGCTTTTGAATGGTATGACTTCAACTTTTATTGATGATTCTCAAATATTAGTGAGCAGAATTACCTGCTGATCATCTAGGACTCCACCCTCAGAGAATCTCTTGCAGTAGGTCCAGGGTGGGGCCCAAGAGTCTACATTTCTGTTAAGTATCCCAAGGATTCTAATGCATTGCATCTAGAAAACTGCCTCAAGGATTCATTCTTCTGGTAGGACAAGGCTGTTGCCCTGCTTGTTGAATATACATCAGAGAGTTAAATACAAGGCCATCCCTGATAAATACAAAGGAGCAAAAGGTAGCACAGCGGTTAATCACAGAGAATATGCAAATCCCAACCCTGTTCTGTCACTGATCTGCGTATGACCTTGGACTAGTTACTTACCTCTTGAATGTAAAATGGGGTAATACAATCGTATAGAACTGTTTTTAAAGGTTAGGTGAATCGATGTGCTTGAACCAGTGCCTAGAAGAAATGCTCACTAGATGTTAAATACTATAATTATTGAAACAAAAAGCATTTGAAATTTCAGGCAAAGGGGAAAGATCAAGTGTGGGCCACTGTGGTCCAAGACTGCTTAGGGTGAGAGAAAGTTCAAGCCTGAAGCACAAGGTAAGATTTTTTTTGTAGATGAGAGAGGAGGAGGGTCATTATAATTACCTACTAGGCTGCACAGAAATGGCCCCTATACAGAAGTCAGCCACCCTCTGAAAGTCAACTGACATAGAAAGGACACCCGGCTCTAGGTAGGAAGTTTTTTCTTTTCTTTCTGAGGCCACCCCTGAGGAGAGCAGACCCTGGGGCTGTAAGGTAACCCTCACCTACACACAGTGAGGGAACTGGCACTAGCATTTGCCCATGAGCAGACTTGGGAGTCCATGAAATGCAGTGTCCAAGCTGTACAATATCCAAGGTGCTATCTAGCCTTTCTACCTGATGGACTTAACTCTAACCTTCCCCACCCACACCATGGCTGCAGGGGAGGAAGTGTGAATTACTAAGAACAAAACCAGGAATCTGCCTACTATCTATCTATCCTACTCTGGGCCAAACTGGGGAACAAATTCATAGATACTCTCTGTGGTAACATCATACACAAATTAAACCAAACAACTGGAAACAGAAAAGCCTTTTATATTATAATACTTATCTTAAAGCTGAAGGTTTATATCTAAAAGAAACAGGATTCATACTTAACCATGTTTTGGTTTTTCCAGATTTTTAGATGCCCCGAGTCAGACTTTTAAACATATAAACATTTTTCTAATGACAAAAGAAAAAAAAAAAAAAAAAAAAAAAAAAAAAAAAAAAAAAAAAAAAAAAAAAAAAAAAGCTTACCTGCCAGCTGTTTTCTACAGAAATTCCTCTTTGCACCCGAATGATATATTCCTAAAAAAGAGGGGGGAAAGAGCCTCAGTTATAAAATGCCCAAATCAGAGGATCAAAAATATAAGTGGAAATATCAGATAAAGTACACTTCAGAACAAAGAAAATTACTAGAGACAGAGAAGGATATTACATCAAGATAAAACAGTTATCCACCAGCAAGACATAGAAATCTTAAATGTGTATGTACCCAACGCCAGAATTAGTACAAACTGATGGAACTGAAAGAAGAAATAGACAAATCCATGATTATAGTTGGAAACTTCAATACCCCTCTCTCAGCAATTGATAGAACAATTAGAAAACCAGCAACAATATAGAACTCAACAACACCACAACAATACATCAAACCAGCAGATTTAATTAGCATTGTTGGACACTCCATCCAACAACAGCAGAATACACATTCTTTTCAAGAGGATATATAGATGGCAAATAAGTACATGAAAAGATATTCAATATCACTAGTCATCAAGTAGATGCATATTAAGACCAGAATGAGATATTACCATACACCAACCAAAATGACTCAAACACACAAAAAATAATACCAAATGCTGACTAGGATCCAGAGAAAGTGGACCACACATGCATTGCCAGTGGGTATGTAAAATGGCACAGTCACTCTGGAACACAATTTAGCAGTTTCTTGAAAGATTAAATGTGCAAATATCATATGACCAAGCAATTGTACTCCAGGGCATTTATCTGAGAGAAATGAACATTTGTGTTCATACATAGATTGTACACGAAGGATCAGAGCAGCTTTATTAGTAACAGTCCAAAATTAGGAAAAAAAAGTCAAATGTCCTTAAACAGGGGAATGGTTAAACTTTGTTACATCTGTATCATGGAAAACCACTTAGAAACAAAAAGGTGTGGTTCACACAACTTGGATGAACTGCCAGAGTTATGCTGAGTGAAAAAGCCAATCCCCAAAGATTATAAACTACATGACTCCATTTATATAACATTCATGAAATGACAAAATTATAGAAATGGGGAACAGATTAGTGGCTGCTAAGAGTTAAGGCTGGGGTAGTAGGGTGTGTGGAGGAGGGAAGCAGGTGTGGCTATAGAAAGTGAGGTGCTATGGTTTGAATGATTGTGTCCCCCCAAAATTCATGTTGAAATGCCCCCCAAAATGATGGTATTAAGAGACAGGACCTGAGGAAAGTTCTTAGGTTGTGAGAGTGAAGCCTTCATGAATGGGATTAGTGCCATATCGAGGAGGCTCCAGAAGGGTTCTTTGCTCCTTCCACCATGAGGATACTTTGAGAAGGTGTCAGCTATGAACCAGGAAGAGGACCCTCACCAGAAGGCAACCACGCTGATATCAGACTTCTAACATCCAGAACTGTGAGAAATAAATTTCTGTAGTGTATAAGCCGCACAGTTCATAGTGTTTTGTTATAGTAGCCTGAACACACTAAGATATGAGAGATATTTAAATCGATATCTTGACTGTATCAATGCTAATGTACTGATTGCCATACTGTACTACAGTTTTATAACACATTACCATTGAAACAAATTGGGTAATGGATACATGGGATCTCTCTGCATTATTTCTTACAACTGCATGTAAATCCACAATTATCTAAAATAAAAAGTTTAACCTTAGGCATTCAAAACTAGCTGTGGTAGCAATCGGAAGACCAAGATCCAGGGGCACCTGGGTGGCTCAGTTGGTTAAGATCTGACTCTTGATTTCAGCTCAGGGCTCAAGTCATGATCTCAAAGTTCATAGGTTCCTGCCCCACACTGGAGCCATGTTAGAGTGGAGCCTGCTAGGATTGTCTCTCTCCGTCTCTCTCTGCCCCTCCCATGTGTGCTCTTTCTCTCTCAAAATAAATTTAAAAAAAGAAAAAAGAAGACTAAGATCCATGAGTTTCAGTGTTCAGAGTTTCCATTTTATATGCTTCGTCAGCTAGAGAAGGCCATGATTAAGAAAACAGGTGAAAGGTGGAACAGAGATGCAGTGATGGCATTCCAGGTCCAGTGACCCCCAGACCGGTCTGATTATTAACATCTATCTCCCTGCTCCGGAGCAGGGAGAAGAGAGGGTATTAAAAATACACATTCCCAGGCTTTGCACCAGACATACTAAATCAGAATCTCTAGGCTAGAAACCTAGGAATTAGATGTTTTTACAGCCTCCCCAGTAATTCTTACTAATAAGTAAGCAGGAAACACAGACCTAGTCCAGCCTTCTGCTTATATACACAGGGAATCATGATGAAGGTATAGATTAAATCATATAAAGAATGTTAACATTTTTTCCTCAAATATTCAGAATCATTTTAATATCCTTGGATGGTATGATTTACTTGTAGTCACTACTCAACAAATGCTTATCAACACAGTATTCGGTAAATCCTTTCTACCAAATTAATTTTCATTTAAATAGGTTATTTAGAAAACAAAGCCAAGTAAGCATTGTTAACCTGGTAAGTGGATTTTAAGACAGATCATATTACACTATCATTCATTTCCATTCTGTTTATTTAGCAAAGGTTGATGAAGTTCACATAGCAGAAATTCCTGTCTTCTCAGGAATATATAAAACATGGTAATTCAACAATATCCACTCAATTATGAGTGAATCAACGGTGTATCTGGAATCTATGTTTAGCTGGTTTCATATGGGGATATAAAATAAATGTTTTAAGAGTTATTTGTGTGGTGTGACAAATCTCTTAAGCAACATGCTAATGCAATTATTTCTGAATACATAAAGAGAAAATGCTGAAACCATATGACATTCTTACATTTTGGGGATCAATCCTTTAGCTTGGAAATTTTCATTTTTTCCAGAATTGTCTTACTGGCAAATTTTCTGAGCTTTTAACGTTCTTAGAGTAAAGCTGAAATTAGCACATATAACTGAATACTTCCAAACAACTACATCATAGGCAAGCTCTTTTCAGGTCTAAAATTGAGGGAAAACGTTAATTCTCAAAAATACTTCTAACATTTATTATTTCACTATGATTTACCAGAGGAATAATAGTAATTTTAAAAATTCCAGTTCAATGTTGGGCACTTGGTAGGTGCTAAGTAAACACCGATGTCTTGCTTCATATTCTTTGAGTTTGAAGTTCAGACCTGCGCTTTACAAAGATGTTGCTGCCAATTGCAAACATCAACTAAGCACCCACAGTGTTCCAGTGCCTGTGCTTCTTCCATGCTGGGGTGTAAGTCTGAACAAGGAACATACAGTTCTGGGGTGTCTGGATGGCTCAGCTGGTTAAGTGTCTGACTTCAGCTCAGCACATGATCTCACAGTTTATGAGCTCGAGCCCCCCATCGGGCTCTCTGCTGACAGCACATAGCCAGCTTCAGATCCTTTGTCACCCTCTCTCTCTCCGCCCCTCCCCAGCTTGTGCTCTCTATCTCAAAAATAAATGAACATTAAAAAAAATAATAAATAAATGTTAAAAAAAAAAAGAAATGTACAGTTTGACCCCATTTCTTGCTTTCTTCTTCTTCTAAGATCCCATTTTTCAGCAATCTCCACACCCAACATGGAGATAGATTGAACTCACAAACCCAAGATCACATGCTCCAACATGTGTTGGAGGGTCACATGCTCCAACAACCAAGCCAGCCTCGCGCCCCTCCATTCCTTCCTTCTGAAGAAACACAATTTAGATTTTTTTTTAAACGTGTCTCTAAATATGTGACAAGTGTATCTTGTCTCTAAATACATGTCTCAAAATACTTGATTTTGGGGTCAGGAGCTTGAGACCTACACTGAGGGTAGAGTTACTTAAAGAGTAGAATAAAATAGAACAGAATAGAATAGAATAGAACAAATAAAATTCAGAATTTCCTGAACATATATTTGTGCCAGAATAGGTTATATACCATTCAACTGGCAAACATCTTCCTATTGTACTCCTTTATATATGTTCCCTGCCCTTTATTCCTCTTCCCTCTCCCTCAAATTGACAGTAACAATTATGTGTTCTAGTCTTCCATGTGCCTTTATTTTTTTTCTTAAGTTTATTTATTTATTTTTGAGAAAGAGAGTGTGAGCTCAGGCTAATAGTATCCTCGCTAAGGTATTCCTGAAGCCTCTTTACTGATACTCTATAAATTTGTCTATTATTGTGATTAAGATTACTATATTGTCTTTAAAAAACACTTGTTTATAAAATGGCACATAATAATGATTGGGAAAAGCATTTGGCAGAAGGGAAGCAATAACTAAAAGATAATGCCTGGGTCATGGTGTCAGACTGTGGTAGCCAAAATGATATCCTCATTAATGTTCCTGCCAAGACATTCTTTATATTTAGGTCCGTGATCTCCAAAGAAGGTGATTCTTCTGACTCAAATGACATTTAGCAATGTCTAGCGACATCTTTAGTTGTCGCAGGGGATGGGGGAGTGCTACTAGCATCTAGTAGATAGAGGTCAGAGATGCTACTAAACACCTACAACGTACAGGACAGCCTACTCCCACCCCCACACCCACTCCCACCCAAGGACTACCTGGCCCCAAATGTCAATAGTGCCAAGAAGTGCCAAGAAGCCTGGATTCAGGTGTATTGATAAACCAGTAGTCCCAGTCCATGAAGGCCTGGGATGCAGGATGGTGCTAGGGTTACTTCTGCCATCATCTGCCCTTGGCCATAGCCCCTGGCCCACTGGTACCTCACATACAACACCATTTGTAATACACACATGTCCACCTAGAGTTTGCTTAGTTACTGGCAGCCTCAAAGCACCACCCATTGTGTAAAAACACATTAAGGCACATTCAGGTTCCACTGTAGCCCCCAGGTCCCACCTGCCATGTGGTAATAGATACAGAAAGACAGTGGGTGGGGTGCCTGGGTGGCTCAGTCGGTTAAGCAGCCGACTTTGGCTCAGGTCATGATCTCGTGGTCCATGGGTTCGAGCCCCACGTCGGGCTCTGTGCTGACAGCTCAGAGCCTGGAGCCTGTTTCAGATTCTGTGTCTCCCTCTCTCTGACCCTCCCCTGTTCA